TCTATTATTCATCTATTATAACAAAATTAATATTATTTAAAAATTAGTAAGTAGTAATAAACTAATAACTAATATTCATGGAAGATACTTTGTCCATGCTAATATTGTATGTTCTGTGATAAATAATTAATAAAATAAATAACTATATTATTATTTTGAATATCCCGCGTTTTTATTTATAAAATAAACATGCGAAGAGTATACATGCACGCATGCGGAGATCGCTTATCTCATCTCGCGACTCGTCGCTAATATGTGCTTCAACCTGCTAACATGGGCAAGATAGGACATGGTTCCATCCATTGTATATGATCTAAGGTCGAAGGTAACCATAATCATGTAATCACATTTTATGATTGTCCGACATAGATCTTATACCATAGAACAGTCATAGCTATCATCTTAGCAGTGTTGTAATTTATATTATTAAGATATTAATGTTGTAACATATTTATTAGGGCTTAGTATTATGCATTTGCAAATTTCAAATTTGCAAAACATTTGTCCGGAAAGCAAATAGAATAAATCTGATTCATTATAAACTTATTTAGTGGTATTTGGATTTGAAATTTAAAAGTTTTTTGCACATATTTAAGCATGCCTACCAACCTATTTCCAACTTTTTTCCTATATATGCATATTTTTTTAAATTTATACTGTATATTTTATCTTTTTTTATTAAATAGGAATTTTTTTAATTATTTATATAATAAATTCAATTTGTATATGTATAAAAATTATTAATACAGTTATGAAATTCAATTTTCTGTAAAAATATTTGTTTTTAAGGACACCATTTAAACTAATGAAGTTTAAAGACAAAAACCATTATAAATATATTTTACTATACCTAACAACCTAACCGAAGTAAAATAAGTTAACGGTGATAGATTTTTTGATATTTAAAGCATACTCATGATTTATGTCTTCTATAAATTGTGAATAACTTACATTAACACACATTTTATATTGTTGGATGCTTAAATATGTACATATATTTTTGATTTTAAGCACATAGTCTAAGTCTCAAGCCCTGTTAATACGATACGATAACAACCTGGTTTGTCCGACGCACATGCGCAGAAGTATGGAACAACATGTGCAGCGCAKCCACCGTTTACCGCGGGAACTACTAGCTTGTTCCGTCTATGAGTATAAGGTCTATGTTGTCCGAATACTCGGCCACTTGTTGACTTATCGCGTGCTAGGGGAATTAAAAAAAAAAATAAATAAATAACGTGTCACGGTTAACATGACGCATCGTTTAAGTATACAGCATGAACTACTACACAGGACTGGACACTATAAGCAGGGTATGGACCAGTGATTCCCAACGTGGGCACTACCGCCCCCTTGTGGGCATTTTTTATTTTGAAGGGGGCGTTTTTATGAGGGGGCGCTAAAGGGGGCGCTCATATATTAGCTCATATATTAGCGAATTCGAAATCAAATTATATAATTATTAATTATTAGTAGGTATTTAAATTTAAAATTACCTAAATTGTAGCGTTAAAATGTTAAATGATATTTTGTCTTACATTAAATAGCTTATTAAAAAATAAAACGTTTATCATTTTAAAAAATTGATTGAGGGGGGGGGGCGGTGTGAGATTTTTAAAATCTAAAAGGGGCGTTGAGTAAAAAAAGATTGGGAAACACTGGTATAGACACTGTGTGTAATGGCAAAATCTAGTGACTGTGGCCTTGAACACGGTCTTTAGGAGGGAGTGGCATGCATTATCACTTAAATAAATCATATCATTATTATCACACAAAGAGAGACTGAAGAGATAGATAAGATATACAGGAGCGCGGACTCGCTATTCTCACAATGATACAAAAAACGAGCCGTCCAGAATTCCGCTTTCCCCACCATCGGAGGGCAAAACATTTCATTTTTACATACGATGGACGTGTAGTCATGATTATTTTCGTACATCATTCTTAATTTATTTAAATTCTTTTTTTAATTCTTAAAATTCTTTAACAAATTAAATGTAGTAGTAATTATAGTCATTACCTTATTGTATTACGATGATTATAATATATGATATAATGATATGGAAAGATATTAAAAGAAAATAATAACTCACATATTTTTAAACACGAGGAGGACTCCCGGGTTTAGCGCCATGCGGTATAAACCTATACGTTTAATATACTAAACAGTATATTAATTATTTATTCATTTATTACATTAATAAACATTTTAATCTAACATGCAATTTAAGACAATTTCTGTAGGGTCAACTTAATATAAATATACATAATATATAAAGGTAATCTAAAAAGTAAAAATATACATCTAATTCACATAAATAAAATTAATTTTGATAATTTTTTTCGGATTGAACATTTATTTTTCAACATTTGTTTACATATTTGTAAATTTTGTATGTTTAACATATATTCTCTCTGATAATGGCGCATTCTTATATTTATAAATGTTTTACAAATTAGTTTAAACAACATATATTCGTGGCTAATGCCCCTATTAGTACATCCAAAGGCTGAACACGAGACAACCATATTGAAGATACAATACAAAATTGTTACAAATTACTAACTATTAAACTAACGATGAGGCTTGAGGTTATAATTTACATATAATATAGACATTTATAGAGCAAATATCTCAGCGATTATGAACGAAAATAAATCATTATTTACAATTCCATCATATTTTCCTATGTAAAAATGAAATGTGTTGCCCTTCGATGGTGGGGGTAACGTCAAACGCGACGGCTCGTATTCACGGCCGAGTCCGCGCTCGAGTATATGATATACTAGAATATAAGTTTTTCTGCTACGAGATGGACATACCATGACCGTTCTTTAGAAGTTATACAAAGACTTATAAATCAATTATTTTAACATTAAAAAAATTAGCCTTGAAGAAACTGACAAAAAAAACAGACATTTAGCTAATAGTTTTTTAAAGCAACTTAATTCTTTTAAATTTGTTCTTACAATGCATATGATGCGCAATGTATTCTCAATTACTACACCTTTATCAAATTATTTACAAAATCCTGCCATCGATTTCATTCAAGCAATACATTTAATTAAAGTGACTCGACAACAAATACAAGATTTACGAGCAATGAAAACTGAATCTGTATATGAGAACCTATTTACAGAAACAAAATTATTTTGTGAAGCACAAGACTTAGAGGAACATGATTTAGCAGAGGTGCGTACATCTCGCAAGAAAAAAATGAGTGGAGAAATAAGTAGTGATGAAAGAATAACTTCAGCAAATTACCGCTATGTATGTGAAGTTTATAGATGTTCATTGGATGTAATTTTATCTAAACTAGATGATAGATTTAGTGGTTCTGAAAATATCTTCAAAGAATTTTCATTACTACTACCTGAACGCTTAGAGTTAAACAAAGTCTCCCCAAATAAATTTCGGTGATACCCGATTGAGCACGGTCGTTATCGGCCGACCTTTTAGACGACCCGATTGAGCACGATAAAAAAAAAAATTGTATACAACGTTGTCAGATTTTCACTAGTACCTACGTCGTATGTTGTGTAGTAGATATTACCAATAGGTAATTACTAACATATTACTATATTAGTCGAAAACGATTTTACTATCGATCGATGGGTAGGCATACCCACGGAAGTTGAAAATAACTRGGATASATAGGAAAMCAGAATTTTATCTACAACGATTGCACTAAATTGTGATTAACTGTTATTGTATGTACCTATGCTGTAAATAAGACTTGGTCACAGTTAGTCGTCTGTTCTGTTGTCTCGCGCGTGCTCGTAGTGCGGTAGTGTGCGAATTTTACAWTAAAATATGGAAAATAATGAAATAAAAATTATTTTATCCGAGAGAGGTAAAGAGTTGGCAAATGTTGGAGCTTTCAAGTACAGGTTTATTGGGTCCAGGAAAAATGGTGAATTGTTGAAATGGCGATGTACAAAAAATGATTGTACCGCAACAATCTATTCTGGCCAAGAGAAAAATATTGTACTGCAATCAAATGGACAACATCATCATGAAGGAAATTCATGAAATAAAATTCAAAGGCAAGTATTACGAGAAAATTGCAAACGACGGGCTGAAGAATCGATGTCAATTCAACCTCTTACATTAATTAGACATGAACTCCTCCGTAATACTGAACTAAAGTCCATTGTCCATAAATGGTACAAAACACATTGGCAGTACAATTTAGTAACTTATAAGTAAATTAATTATAAAGTCCATTGTCCATAAAGATTTGAAAACAGTTCGAAAGGCTATTTATGATAGACGAAGAAATACACTTCCTGAATTACCTAAGTCACGAGAAGACATGTTTTTGCAGCTAAATTTAATAAAAACTCAAGCTGATTTTATGTTTAATGGACAGCAATTTATACATATTCCTGAAGATGATAGTTTCGTATGTATTACTAGCGACGACAACCTAAAATTTATGACAACAAAATGCAGTGATTTGTTTGCCGATGGTACATTCAATTACGCTCCTAAATATTTTATGCAGTTATATACAATACACGGATTTAAAAATGGATATTATTTGCCTTTAGTTTATTTTTTTTTTGTTTGAGAAATTGAAAGAGATGTATAAAAAAATTTGGTTATTTCTTAATGAATTGTGTAAGAAATATAATGAAATTGAGTTCAAATTACAAAAATTACATGTTGACTTCGAAAAAGCAGCTCACCAAGCCGCTTCTGAAGTTTTTGAAGATGTCCTTTTGTTATCATGCAGATTTCATTTAGGGCAATCAGGGTGGCGGAAAGTAAGTCCAAAATAAAAACTAATAAAATTAATAACTATTAAATTAAACTAGTTTATTATTATTACAGATAAACAGTGATCCTGTACTCAGAATAGCATATACAAAAAAAGACGATGCTCTTGGAAATTGGTTAAAAATGTTTTTTGGATTGGCTTTTCYTCCGAGTCATGAAGTAGCTGATGCATTTGTCGAACTTATCAGTGTATGTCCAGATGAAATTGCTTGCACAGAATTTTCCGATTATATTTTTAATAATTACATTGATGACGGATCTCCATTTCCCCCGAATATATGGGCTGAGGAATCATCGTATAATCCAAGGTATCTATACGGAATCTATAAATTTTTTACTATAGACATAGATACATTTTTTATTTTTCAGAACGACTAATGCAGCTGAAAGTTTCCACAGGACATACAATTCCCAATTTTACAAGGCACATCCACATATACACTTGGTTATTATAGTGTTACAAGAAACTCGGGCTGAAACGATCACGAAAATTCAATCCATAGCAAGTAATAATCATAAAAAAATTAGTGTTATCGAAAACCAAAAAATTAACTTCACTATAAAGGCTTATCAGGAGTACTCTGAATTTAAAGATGTTGATAACCTACTTAAATACTTATTTAAAGTTTGAAATAAGTATTTAGGGAAAAAAATTTAAATTTTTATTTTTTAATTTATTTTGATTCGTATTTTTCAACATTTTTTTATTTATTTTTTTTATATTATGTATTTTTATATTCAGTATTTAACGGATTAATTGTCATTGTAATATAATATAATAAACTAACTGACGTAGGTACATATGTAATATGTGATTAAAACCCATTAAACGATTTTTATTTTATTACATTCAAATGTATTTTATTTTTTAATATTAATATTATACGATACAAAATGGCAACGTCGCACCTATTTTCGTGCTCAATCGTGTTGTTTTTTGGGTTTTTTTGGGTTCCAATTGTTTGATTCCAACCATGCTCAATCGGGTTGTGAACAAGGTCAATCGTGCTCAGTCGGGTTCCAGCCATAAATTTGATTATTTGGTAAACTGGTTGTCTGCCGATAGAATTAACAAAATTGGTTTAAATGTAGAATATGAATTATTTGCTTCTAATTATAAAAACTTTATGAATAGTGCTACAGCAAATGACATAAAAATGCAATCTAAACATTCTAAACATACAATTAATACAAATGATTTAAGTGATCAAAATGATACTGAAAGTGATGATTCCGAAGAAACAATACATGTTACTGCCATATACTCTGCTCTGTGTAAAATGGGAATGGTGTCAGCTTTTCCAAATTTATTCATGGCTTATAAGGGGATTTGTACTTTGTCACCAACATCAGCAACTGCGGAACGATGTTTTTCCAAGCTTAAACTCATTAAAACAAAATTACGCTCTACTGTTGGAGAA